TTCCGCTGACGCTTCAGTTATGCCACCAAACTTATGCTGTGCTACTAATTGCAAACAGGTGTTCATGCAGCAGCTGATTGCGATGGTTGAGACCTAGATCACCTGATGAGTGCTTTCAGGGAGGACAAATACAGTTAGCTTATCTTTAATCACCTGAGGATGATGCATCAGACACAGCTGATGTGATGAGTCAGGTACCCGCTCTACCACGGGCGCTCACTCATCAAACGTTAGTAGAAACAGTCCTTAAGTCCTTCCTACAAATGAAATCAAGAATGTTCGTATGAACGGACAAAATTATACACAAACACGTGGTGGCCACTCGTAAGCACGTTCCTCCACCACCGACTTTTGACAGATCCCACCTGCGCTTACTCAGGTGGCCATGTCTGTTTGAATAGAATAGAACAGGCTGCTTACACTGAGCCAGGATTCTCTGGAGGTTTCTTCCTGTTAAAAGGGAGTTTTCCTCTCCACTGTCGCTGCATGCTTGCTTAGTATGAAGATTGCTGTAAAGACTTAGCCTAGTGAACGAGACCAAATTCTTGCTTTGCAAAGTTTGGTCTAGGCATGCTCCATTGAAACCTCAGCAGCTCCTACCAGGACTCTGGCTAGCCAATCACAGCTCTCTAGAGGGGTTTCAAACACATAAAGAGCTGTGATTGGTCCATAATCGTGGGCCAATCATAGTGCTCTATCTGCTTAGTGAACAAATAACAGAGCTTTATCCGCTTTGTGGGCCAATCAGGGCACTATATGCCTGGTGGGTGGGATGATGCAACAGAGTGAAACAAGAGTATGTCACATTCATTGTCCAGTGGAATGCGGAAATCATTTGAAAGACAACGGTAGAACCCGCCCCACAACCGAGAGCCGTCAATGGAGCGTGGCCAGACTAAATAATACATTTATTTAGTCTGGCTTGCCAGGCTAGTAAAGACTCTGACACTAGTCAGTGACTCGATGCAACCTGCTGGGTTCCTTTTATAGGCTAAATATGGCTAAATGACCTGTCCTGTACCGGACTGTGTGAAGGTCCTGGAGACAACTCTGGTCCTGATGTGGAGCTGTAGAGAAACTGAACTGAAGGGAATTGAATTGATCCAAATATGTTGCAGAGGTTGTAAACGATGCGGGGACAGAAAAGAGGTACCCGTCAGAAAAAAGAAAAAAAAAATGGTTCCACATAAAACTGAATTACTTGTCATCCTAGTGAAACCATCCATCCGGCACAATATCCCAATCCAAAACGATTCCCCGTCTCTGGCTCTTAAAAAGGCAGTTTGAAACTTGGGTGTTGTGACTGATGACCAGCTGACCAAGATCACGTAGCCACCGTCTCTCGTTCATGCTGCTTCATGCTGTATAACACACGAAAGATCAGACTGTACCTAACACAACATGCCAGCCAGCTCCTGGTGCAGTCTACTGTCACCTCCCGCCTCGACTACTGCAACGCCCTTCTAACTGGTCTTCCAGCCTGGACTGTGAGACCTCTTCAGATGGTCCAGAACACAGCGGTGCGTCTGGTCTTCCATCAGCCTAAAAGAGCACGTCACTCCTCCGGTCACTGAGCTCAACTGGCTATTGCTAGCTACACGCATCAAATTCAATTAGCCAGCACCAGCATACTGGATGGAACGGCTCCCATCTACCCGAATCATCTTGTAAAGGCTTACATCACGGCCCGGCCGCTCCGGTCATCGAAGGATTGTCGGCTAACAGCGCCTGCACCACGCTCAGGATGATCCAGACTCTTTTCACAGATGTGGAATGACCTAACAAGCACCACCAGAACAGGGCGTCCTTGTTGAGAAACTCCTGAAGACCCAGCTCTTCAGAGAGCATCTTCTAAACCAGCACCCGTCCCCCACTCTACTGCACACTCCATGTTCACTTCCCTCTAGGATTCATTATGCTGCCTCACTGCCACCTAGGACTGACTGATTAGTGCTCGTTGTTAGCCTCAAGGACAACCTGCTGCTTCATCATCACCTGTAAGTCTCTTTGGACAAAAACGTCTGCTAAACACATAAACTTAAACAAAACAGAATCTGATAGATTGCAGAGTAATGGGTTGTTGTTTACAGTTTATATTGAAGGAGTTGAATGATTTAGTTAGAGCTGGTTTTGTTCTCCAGGTTTTTGAGTGCAGCCTCCTCTGAGCTGTCAGTCAGTTTGGTAACCTTGGCAACGTGTGGATGTTGGAGGGCTAGAGGAAGTTCTGGGTGGGGTGTAGTTGCCTGTAATTTAATCTGGACCGGAATCAGATCGGGGCAGTTTCTTTAGTGCACAGCAAAGAGTCCAAAAGCCCGGCATAGCTCCAGAAGGATCCCCTCCAGGAAGCGGTATCTGCTCAGGAACCTCGCTGGATTCTCACCAATCAAATCAGAGCGCTGACGGAGGCCTCGTTCCCTCCAGAGAGCACGCTCTGCACAATCCTTCAATGACCACAGATCTGCCATGCTACCATATCAGATTGTCCCATGGGTCATAGGTGTCCTTATACACTGTAAAAAAGCTGTCAAGTTTACGGTAAGATACCAGCAGCTGTGGTTGCCAGGAATATACCGTGAAAAAAACGTGTAATCTGTAAACGTAAACCGGTATACTGGTTTTGTATTCCTACAATTTACAGTAGACAATGATTTAACCAAAATCATGGTAGGAAAAATACTAATATATTTGTCAATTATACAGAAATTTCATGTAAAAAAATGCAACTTTACATAGCTTTTACAGATTTTTAAAGTTAAAAAATGTTATATTATATTAATATTTACACTGATTTGTTGTTAATTTTAACAGTAATAGGATAAAATAACTAAAAATAAAAATATGGTAGACCATATAAAAACCTTTGACAATAAAAAACAGTGAAACTAATTACAGCATTTTATTTTGACTTAATACATTTTACGGTAAATTCCTGGCAACCACAGCTGCCGGTTTCTTACCGTACATTTGACATTACAATGAGAAAATAAAAAAAAGTACTTTACATTTAACATTTGCAACCGTTCAATATGGAAAAATATAAAGATGCTCAAATAAGTTAATAAGAAAATTACTGATAAACAATGAGAAAAACTGACATAGCATTTGAAAACAAAATAAACATATTTGTTCTATTCCTAGCTACAGCATAGATCTTGAGAATACAGCATGTGTTCATATATTATGGCTGGTAATCTGTGGAGAAATAAATAAACATGAAACAAAATTACCTGCCCCTGACCGATCAACAGTGATGAGTTACTGGGTCCTGCCTTGGTGAAGGAAAGGACTCAGCGGAGTTTCTAATGGCATGGTGTCGAAGATACAAGCTCTGCAGGAAGACTTCCACGTCGGTCAGGAGTTCGCTTTGGCCTAGCAGGATCCCCTCTGCAGGAAAAAATGGACAAAGGTTCAAAAGTTTGATCAGGGCTTAAAAATGCACAGAAATGAACAAGCTCTCAAAAACAGATCTACAGATAAATTATTTCTGAAGTTTTAACAATACAGTTCTTCAGCCTACTTATGTAAAAGTGATACATAAACAACGCAGCCACAATCACAATCATAATTTATTGGAAAACACTGTATTCAAGTCTCCTATTGATTTATCATAGAGCTTGAAGTTAATGACTGAATCAGGGTATATGCAGGAAGCTTGAAGTTTAGTTTAATACCTTTTCAAGACTCAGTTTTTTCTAGCAAATGAAGGGACCGTTGCGTATTAAAAATACTAAGAATTTCTTAAAAGGCAGACATTTTTGCTTTCTAAACTAAACTTTTCCTCATAAATTTAAAAGTATTTGTTCGACATTTTCTGACCTTACAAGGTCAGAAAATCTTTATTTAGGTAGCGAAAATGTCTGCCTTTAATGACAAAGAAATTCTTAGTTTTCTCTAGGAAATTTATTTCTGGAAAATTCAAATTATTCTCGGAATTAAGAGTTTTAGCCTGCAGTTTTGTCACATTCTGCAGGCTCTTGTCGTGTGAGACGGCCTTTACTAGAGGTGCAGTTTCCTCCATTTCCTCTCATCCCCCTCATGGCCGGGCCCCTCCCAAGCCGGGGGCCCACTGGCCCCCAGCCCCCCTGTAGCTCCACCCCTGGAGTGTGTATCCTTTTCCTTCCGCTGTTAGTCCTTCAGGTAAAGTCATAACCAGATGACAGGATTTATCAGGTGATCAGCCAGGCTAATGATAAGATGCAGAAAGAAAACAAATCCAGGACAGTGTACAGTAATAATATGTGGTGTTGCTCACCTCATGTGCTCTTATAGAGTATTAACGTGTGCCTGCCTCATGGTGTAGAGTCCATATTTTGCTGAGTGTCCTGCAATAATGCAGGTTATTAATTAATTTACTTTTGATAGCAAAAACAAAATATTTAATGTAAAAGTTATTTAGCAGGTGAATCGGCTCACACGTCACCACCAAGTGTCACAGGACCAGTGGAGCTGCCTCTGGCACCATGAAGAACAGAATGGAGAGCCTCGACGGGTGCATAAACTTTAATTGGTTTCTCTGGTCCAATGCCTTGGACTTCACTCCATGAGTTGCACCATGAAAACTGTTTAGAGATATACAAAGCATAAATAAAAAGGTGAAAACAACTTCGATGTCATAACAGAAATGGATTATATTCTCACATTTACCTTGCTCCGCTGGCCAAGGGTGCTAAACAAAACAATAATTCCTCAAAGCTGCTTTATGTGTAGATTCGAGTGGGGATGGACAAGAAAAACAAACAATGACTATAGAGTGTCGAACTAATAACCCAAACAAAAGCGTCAATACAGCAAAACTTATGTGGGGATGCAGTCAGCACTGTGCAGCTGAGGTGAATTCAGGCTAAAGACATAATTTCAACACTTCAACAGTGTTATCTTCTCTACAAACAACTTAACCCAAGCCATTTTCTCTGGAAGGGTGTGGCTTATATAAATTCTGTGAGCCAATTAAGAGTCATTGCCATCAGCTGCTCAGCTGGCAGCTACAACCAGAATCAGTCGCCTCCTTCATGATGTCATGATGTAACCTAGCGCCAAGCTCACAGCACCTGGCCACCTGAGCCAAGTCACGTTCAGCCTCCTGATGTGGATCAGTCTGAACCGTCAGACCAGTTTCTGTCTGCTGCCAGAGATTCCCAGACTGGTTTGTGGTCTGAATGGAACCACACACAGATTCAATCAGGGCGGAGCAGGTGTGTGTGTGTGTGTGTGTACTTTATATGTTTAAAAGGACAGATTTGAACTTTAACCTGTAGCGTGGATACATTTCCACATTGTGGGGACAGTTTGTTGGTCCACCAAAATACTAAAGACCCTAATACTTGGTTTTAGAGGTATGGTGTGAATCAACTTTTAGTTTAGGTCAGGGTCGGGGTTAGGGTTAGGGGAGTCCCAAAAATGAATGGAAGTCAATGGAGGGTCCACACAAGGATACAGAGACGTGTGTGTGTGTGTGTGTGTGTGTGTGTGTGTGTGTGTGTGTGTGTGTGTGTGTGTGTGTGTGTGTGTGTGTGTGTGTGTGTGTGTGTGTGTGTGTGTGTGTGTGTGTGTGTGTGTGAGAGAGAGAGTGATGGATGATGGCTTTAATTATTCTACAGGTTATTGTTCAGCCTTCTGACACACACACACACACACACACACACACACACACACAGGAATCCAGGAATTGAAATAAAAAAACGTAGTTTTTCCCGGAATCGTACAAACAGTTGGAACCGGTTCCAATCGATGCTCGATGCTCGACGGCCAACCCCAGTGGCAAGTGTCATCCAGATTATGTCACTCTCTCCTCCTCCTCAGGTACAGATGCTTCTCCCCTTTCTGCTCCAGAGGGCTCCAATCAAGATGTTTTTGTGAAAGTAAACAGCATTGCTGACATCATCGCCACCAACATCCCATCTCTGGCAGGAGCTGCGTCAGCTATAGGAGGCCCCATTGCCTACGCCCCCTCCTCAAACCTGATGATCCCTTCTGCAAACAGCCAGACTGACAGTGTTGCTACTAGCATACGTTGTTTAGCTGAAGCTGCTAATGTTTTAGCCAATACAGCTTTTTTAGACTCCGCCCTCTCCGCACCTGCACCTGCACCTGCTGCTTTCTCAGGTGCCCCAGACTTGGACAGAATCATTGGCTCATTGTCTAACATTCCCAGTTTAGCTGGGACTGTCAGCAGCATTGCTAATCCTTCCATTAGCTCCTCCCCCTCAGCCCCACCCCTCTCATCTGATACACCACACCCCCAACTTCTGAAAACAACTGGATCTGCAGACACTCACACAGGTAAAATAGCCAATCAGGCTGAGGTCTGAGATGTTAAAGTAGTGGGCTGGTCCTGGTTCTGGACCGTTGTACTGAACTTAAAGGCTGAACTAAGGTTCCTTCAGACTGACGTCTGCTTCTCTTTGTGGTTCTGAACATGTGTCCAGATGTTGGCGTTCTGTCCCAGATGGTGACCCAGTGTTTGGACCAAACTGCAGGAGCCATGGGACCATCAGTAGATAAGGATGCAAAGTCTTCTGAAGAAGGTTCTGAAAGTCATATTTTTTCAGCTGAACCAGACCCAGTTCTGGATCAAGTTCTAATGACCCACTTATGTTATTCTTGCTCTTGGTGTTCTGCGTGCCTCTGCCCTTGTCATTCTGGTTACTTGGTTCTAGTTCCAGTTCCATCTTCTCTTCTTCCAGAAAAAGACGAGAACATCATGGTGTTGGCTTGTTGGACCAATCTGGAAGAAGCTGACTCTGAATCATCCAATGAGGATGATACAAAAGTTAGTAATGTCTCCAGTGAATCCAGTGGACCAATGGGAGAAGATTCTGGTTCTCACACAGCTACCACCAGGTGTGTTTGTGGTATATCTTCATCTCCATTCATTGATGCTGATACCTCTGTTGTTTGTTCTTTAGAGTTGCATCCAACCAATCGGAACGTTTGATCCCAACTCGACCAGCCCCGCCTCCTCCTCACAAGAAAACCCTGACAGTGAAACAGAGGATACCCAGGTATACCACATGGTTCAGGTCCATGCTCAACCTGATTCTGTTTTCTTTTTAGTTCCAAATCTAAAATGAACTGAGTGACTACGTCTAAAGCTCTGGGGTCTCCTATGTCCAAAAAATGGGCACTTAAAATCCAGGTGTCCCCCTTCTGCTCCAGAAGTCCAGACTATTCAGTGATGAAGAGTCTGACGTTCCACACCTACTTCTTGTCTGGCATTTACGCTTTTCTACAGTTTTCAGTCATCTGGAGACAGTAAGAGGGCCTGCTAGGAGATTGCTAGATGTGGACATAATTCCTGTCTCCAATAGAGACATTCTTATGTCCACGTGAGTTTTAACCCTCTGGTGGCAGGCGTTGCAGATTAGCAACGTTAAAACCTACCTACCTGGTTGCTCCACACATGTGTTTCATGAACATTTCTAACTCAGAAGTTCCCCTGAAGGACTTAGTTGTTCATCCTTTTATCAAAACTTATTTTGAGCCTGAGAGGGTTAATTAAAGCATGATCAGAGTGGAGCAGAACATCTCATTAGTCTTAATAGAGGAGATTCCAGATGCAGCCATGTGAAGAGAGCCAGAGTCCTGTGGACCACCATGAGACGGCCTCATCAGACGGATAATCCTAAAGGAATTGCTCCCCGTTTCATCCAGCTGCTGACCACACTGTGGTTTCAGAGGGTGACCAGCATGGTGTCCTGGTCTATTTTAGTGAGCAGCAGGAGAATTCCCCTTTGATCAGAATGAACACAGTAAATAGATCCACGTGTCGGGACAGTTTGATCTACGCGGGTCTGTTTAGAGTCGTTAGAGTTGGAGCTTACATTATCTAGGAAATCCATTTAGGGCTTTGTGCATAACGTCTGGTTCACACTGGAAGCGTCAGCGACGCGAAACGGCAGCGGAACGGTTTACTGGCGAACTTCAAAGCGATCCGTTTCACACCGGGAGAGTCTTGGCAGTGGCATGGCTTCCTCGCTCTGCTCTTCGCTGGACTCACGAGATCACACGATCCTTCGAGACTTCAGGTCACGGTTTGTTTATGCATTCTGCCATTAAACCAAAAAGAAAGAAATCACGTTTGATATTGCTGTGTGATGTCACATATGACATTGTTCCTCTACACTGCCAGGAGTAAAGCCGTGAAAAACACACTCTTGGAACGATGGAACCGTTAGGTCACACGTAAGCTTCATATATATGAAATTGCATTGCTGCAGTACTTCTATTTAGAAATTTACCAGTAATTTTACACTGAAACCGTGTGTGATTTTCTGTCTAACCTTATGTTAACTATTAAAATTGACGCATTCCATAAGTGACACGGCAAAAATAGAACCCAATCCCATCCTTAGCGGCGCTGCGCAACACGACGTGCCGCTTCTGGGATGCACCTGGAAGTTGCAGCGTCGCTGCTGGTTTGAAATGATCCGTAGACTCTAACGGAATCTATTTGAAGCAGTGATGTTCTGAAACTGTTCCACCCTGCTGATGTGTTCAGTGTGAAACCGGGGTAAGGGCTCCAAACTCCCACCAAGCAAATAAATCCAAAAGTTACGTTCTGTCTCTTAGGTGGATGATCAGACTGAGGATACTTTCAGATATGATGAAATTAACTGGAGCCTTCAGTCTTGTAAAGTTTGCTTGCTTTGCAGGGCAGCTACCATCCGGGTTTCCAGGAAGAAGGGGGGTGGTAATGAGTTGGCTACCCAAAGTGCTGTGGTCCGAGCTAGTTGGCTGGATGTCTGGAAAGGCTTCAGGTAAAAGCCACCAGAACAAGGTTAATGAAACCTCTGAGGACAACAGTAGAAAGAATGAATGACAACTTCAGGGGTTGGGATATATAAAAATCAACTGGATGGATGATGGATGGATGGATTATGGAAGGGTGGATTGCATCTAAAATGCATGTTGAAGGTTTAGATGAAGCTAATATTTTTGATAACTCTGAAAGCTCAACTGGATCAAAACGGTTCAAACACAGATGAGGTTCTACAGTTACCTCTGATGCTGCCTCACTTACTGAGGAAGAAGAAATCGCATTAGTGAGGATGCTAATGATTTTGTGACTAATAGAATTAATTTTCTTCGTGAAAAATCCCGTAAAATTGTTGCTGCTGAGGGCTAAGGGAGTATATGGGTCAGAGCTATGATTCTGTGTAAGTTTGGCAACTGTCCTGAAAAAAAATTTAGGATTATGCTTATTCTCCTCAATTAGCAATGGAAAATAAGCAGTTCTACCTGGTCGAAGCTTATTTTATAAAGCACAAGACTATTTTACCAGGATAAGTAGGACTCCTCCTGGTGTGAAGAGCGCCATGTTCTCTCCAATTTCCTAGAGTTTTGTTTTAAGGCTCGTAAATGAGAATTAAACCAGGGAGCCAACTTCCTGTCCCTAATTACCTTCTTTTTTAAAGGGGCTACATCATCTAATGCCACACGTAAAGAAGAAGTGACATTATGAACTCGACCATCAATTTGTGAGGGGCTAGAACTGAAAATATTGCCCTCTGTTACGTTCCTCTGAGATGCTGAGGACAGTAAAGATGGAACAGTTGATTTAAAAGATGCAACAGCGTTGTCAGATAGAGACCGACTATAGTGAAATTTACTTTCATGTCTCGAGAACTCAGTTATAAATAACTCAAAGGTTATCAGAAAGTAGTCCGAGAGGACTGGATTATGTGGAAATATCATTATTTCCTCACACTCAATGCCATAAGTCAGAACAAGGTCCAATGTATGATGGCAAGAGTGGGTGGAGCTATGTATTCTTTGGGTTAAACCAATTGAGTCTAAGATATTACTAAAGGCTACATTGAGGCTATCATTTTCAATGTCCACATGAATGTTGAAATCCCCCACTACAATGACCTTATCAGTATTTAGCACCAAATCAGATAAAAAATCAGAAACCTGATCCAAAATCTCAGAGTAAGGGCCTGGTGGACGATATAAAACTACAAACAAGAGTGGTATTACAGTTTTGCAATCTGGATTAGGAAAACTAAGAATAAGATGTTCAAACGAACTAGAACTATTAATCTGTAAGGGACTGATTAATAAGTCAGAATGAAAAATAGTTGCCACTCCTCCTCCTCGCCCTGTACTTCGAGCAATGTGATGATTTAAATAATTTGAAGGAGTCGACTCGTTTAAGCTAACATAGTCCTCTTGCTGCAGCCAGGATTCTGAGAGAGAGCAAAGAGATCTGATTATCACAAATCAAGTAATTAAGTAACAAAGTCTTAGAAAAAATGGATCTAATGTTCAACAACCCACATTTAAATTTTCTAGTTTTCTGCTCAGTTGAATTTGTTCTAATATTTATTTCCATGATTTGCTTTATTAAGCCTGATATTTAATCTGTGTGGTTTTAGCCGTGGGCAGGACACTGTCTCTATGGGGTAGTGGGTGGGTAACAGTATAGAAGCTGCAGAGGGGTGGGTTAAACTACGTCTCTGCTTCCTGGTCTGGACCATGGGTTGTCATGGAGGACTAATAAAACTGGCCATATTCCTAGAAAGAAGAGCTGCTCCATCCAAAGAGGGATGGATGCTGTCTCTCCGCATCAGACCAGGTTTTCCCCAAAAAGTTTTCCAGTTATCAATGTAGCCCACGTAGGATGGATGATGATGGATGATGATGATGGATGATCTGTGTTTAATAGGCAACCAGCTAATGTGTCTTTCCTTTCTAACAGATACAGTGTTTTATGGGCAACACTGGATGGACAGCTGATGTCTCTACGTAAAAGACGTTCAGTAAGTGGACATGCCTCACCTGAGTGTCTCGGTGGGGCTGTATGTCAAATATTTCAATTCAAGTTTATTTATAAAGCATCAAATCAGGACCAGAGTCGTTTCAAGGACCTTCACACAGTAAACATTCCATTACAGGCCAGGTCATTAAGCCAATCAGTAACAAGTTTCCTATATTAGGAACCCAGCAGGTTGCATCGAGTCACTGACTAGTGTCACTCTATAACAATCCTCATACTAAGCAAGCATGCAGTGACAGTGGAGAAGAAAACTCCCTTAACAGGAAGAAACCTCCAGAGGATCCTGGCTCAGTATAAGCGGCCATCTGCCCTGTCAAATAAAAATGTTTTAAGCCTGCTCTTAAAAGTAGACAAGGTCTCCGCCTCAGGGACTAAAGCCTTTCTTAGTCCAATATATTACAGTGAACAGTTAGGAACTGGGCTTCATGGTGGTGCAGTTGTTAGCACTGTTGCCACGCAGCAAGAGGGTTGCAGGTTCAAAACTGGTCTGCAGCCTTTCTGCGTGGAGTTGCGTGTCCTCCTCATGCATGCGCGGGTTTCCTCCGGTACTCCGGTTTCCCCCACAGACCACTACCTGCCCTGTAGGTTAACTATTGTATGCCGCTTTGGATGAAAGCGTCTGCCACATAAACAAAAAACACAATAGTTGATTTTTTTACACTTAAACTAGACTATTGTGACTGAATGGATGAATAATTTTATTTGAACATATCTTAAAATAATTTAAACTAAAAACAAATCAAACTCAATCACACAAAAAAGTCAACAGAAGCAGTAAATAAATAAAAGTAAATAATATAAATGATATGTTCAAAGGGAGCAGCGTATAAAACTCTGAAAAGTGTCATCGTTTAATTCTGTTCCACGTTCTCTATAGTTGACTTGTACATTAATGGTGTTTGAAAGCACTCATTTCCCATTTACACACACACACACACACACACACACACACACACACACACACACACACACACACACACACACACACACACACACACACACACACACACACACACTATAACAATGATGATGATAATAGTATACAAATAAATGCACAAGCCTACCATGTGAGTCTTTAAGAGCAACTTCAGCTCAAAATGTCATTTTTGCTTTTATTTCCATTTTACTTTGTGCTTACGTTTTCCAGAGTTTTCAGTCTCTCATCTGCTCAAAGCCCATTACTCAGCCTCACCAGCAGGTGGCAGAAGCATCACTTGGATGTTGCTGTTTAAAGAGACAGCTGGTAGAAATGATGTGTAAATGAGGCAGTTTTTATGTAGGTACTCGCATTTAGGCCAATCTGACCCATTCATAGTAAATATAATCATACACATTAAGTTTGATTTACTTAATTACTTTTAGATTGTTTGTTTTCTCCCCTCAAACCAGGGAGGGTGGCTCCAGAGCGCCCCCTAAGGATGAGCTGTCACTGCTATCTGTCAATTAAGACTGTGTGTGTGTGTGTGTGTGTGTGTGTGTGTGTGTGTGTGTGTGTGTGTGTGTGTGTGTGTGTGTGTGTGTGCGTGTGTCTGTGTGTGTGTACTTGTGCGTCTGTGTGTGTGCATGTGTGTGCGTTTGTGTGTGTACATGTGTGTGTGCATGTGTGTGTGTGTGTGTGTGTGTGTGTGCGCGCGCTTGTGTGTGTATGTGTGTGTGTACGTGTGTGTGCTCGTGCGTGCGTGTGTGTACTCGTGCGTGTACACATGCCTCTAACCATTCATTGTGTCTTTGATCAGGACCAGTTCGGCGAGGTGTTGTTTCACGTCTCCAGCATCACCAACATTAAGCCTCAGGATAAAAACAGGTTCTCCATTTACTTCAAGAAGAAACATTATGACTTCATGGCTCATAGTAACGGTAAGGGTGGGGGGTGGGGGTGGGGGGGCTGGTTTAGTAGGTGGAAGGCTACTGAATCGTGTTTGTTCCATTGATCAGAGGTTCAAGAAGGTTGGCTCACATCCCTGTTGGCGACCAGAGGTCTGCAAAGCCCCAGCCCCTCAGAGATGCATGGACAAGTCACCATCAAGGAACCACGGAGTCGTTCTTTCGCTGCACTCTGGGGTCATGATCTCTGGATTTACCCCAACAGGGACAGCTTCCAGCTGGGCGTTGCCTCCTACTCCATCCCCTTGAATGTTGCCTCAGTAAAAGCAGCAGGAAAACATTCATTTGTCATCATCACTCCTTACAAGAGCTTTAGGTAAACACCCATCTACATGTACATGTGTCACCATGTCCCTGTCACCTTTATTTGAATCTTTTAATTGAACCTTCATTTAACCAGGAAAGACATCAACGCGACTACCACTGACTTACAACATGGATGTTTTATTTCCACAAATAACACAAACCTGAAGCAGCTTCTTCCATGAAGTCAAGTTGCTAATGCTAACAGTTAGCTTAAACTAGCCGTGACACTCTCTCTGTTTCCTGGACACTAAATAAACAACAGCTTCCCCATGGGTGAGTCCATGAATGTTGTGACAGTGTGACGTAGATCTGTCAGGCTTTTCTAATCCAAAGTTTCACCGTCTGTTTTCTATCAGAAGCTACTGCAGGAGATAGGTGTAGGAGACTATTTTCATGTTCAGCCTGCTTGTTAAACTCAGAGATAATAATTTAAAATGGGTTTTAGCACTCCCTAGTGTCCGTTTAGTAGAACCAAAATGAAGCTATCTCTCCGCTGTGCGTTACTTTAACACCTAAGTCCAACAGCGGAAGCGTCTTCTCGGCTTTCATTGGTTTCTACAGGAGCAGCTCATCACTGTGTAGCATGACTGCTTGTTGCCATATATCATCATTAAATGATCAGTAATGTAGCGTATTACTACATACTAGAATCAACACTGTTTGCATTCAGTTGTTAGATTCTGAGAATGATCAAGCAAATTAGCATATGAAGCTTATATCATGTATAAATATCCAGGATACTTATATAATCGATAGAAGTTCATACACCAACCTGCTTGGTCTATATTTAATCCAAAGATTAATGTTTAATTTAAGATGATAAAATTTAATAGCAAAAGTTTATTTATTTAAATCAGAAGTTAGGAATCTTTGCTTTTTCAACAACCAGAAATATTTATACCTTTCTGTGTTTCATTTCAAAGATAAGGCAGATTTTAAAGTTAAGAATTTATTAGTAACAATTTTAAACTCGACAACTTAAATGACAACTAAAAATGACAATTCATGGATGACTATTTGACCTCTGGTTTTATTAATCTGGATGTTTTGATTTCTGGTCGAATCAAAGCTGGCAGATGTATAAACACCACAGAGACTATGCCACGCTTCAGAAAGGCAGGTTCTGATTGGATGAGTAACAGCAATGTGTCCTGCGTTTACATTACGTGTATCAGCGTGTCTAGTGAACTAGATTAAAGTCATTTACTTATTAAAGCATACTAATTATAACATTGTTATTTCACAGATCGGTCAACATTATATTATTGACTAACACTTGTTTTGATTAGCTTTATTAAAAATAGAGTTCTTTGATTTAATAAAAGAAAAGAGGCCTTTATCTTCATTCTTCTCTTGAGCTGGAAAGAAAACAGATTTAGTAGCGAATGCATGACCTTGAGGCAGTCTCATGCACTCGAGTGCTGTGTCAGAGGCATCTGTGGAGAGAAGTTAAATAACCTTGGAGGAATAGCTCCTTCATCCCGTTACACATGGTTCTCTCATAAGTATGGACTTGGGCACGTTCAACACATGTCTTGAGGCTGTGGTTGGCACTTAATGCACCGTGATTTATTATCTTGATTGCTCAGTAAAACAATGTAGATTTTGTATTTCAATTCAAGTTCAATTCAATTCAAGTTTATTTATAAAGCGCCAAATCACGAAGAGAGTCGTCTCAAGGCACTTCACATAATAAACATTCCAGTACAGATCAATTCATTAAGCCAATCAGAAAAAAGTTTCCTATATAAGGAACCCAGCAAATTGCATCGAGTCAGTGACTCTACAGCAATCCTCATACTAAGCAAGCATGCAGCGACATCAGCTTGATGCAGTGATAGTTTGCTCCTGTTGTATTGTTGTGTGTCCCTTTTCTTTTCTTTCTTTTTTCTCCTTCTGCATGTCTAGAAGCAGACTCTTGTTCGTCACTGGTTGTTTATTTTTGTGGAAGCCCCTTTCTCTTTCACCTCAGTCTCCGTGTCTAGTCGGAATTACAAAGCATTCAAAAACAATAACAATAAAGTTTTAAGAATCAGGCGTGACATTAAAAGCAGACGCTTTGATGCTCCACCTGAGAGTAAATCTGTAAGGCTTGTTACCAGCATTCAGACATCACTTCTGTTTGCTTCACAGCCAGACAGGACAGGGCAAAGAAAGAAAAAAAACCCCGAAGAAACCGAGAATCGAGGATGCGCCAACTGTTTTAATAATTGTTGTTTTTCAATTTGGACAAATCACAAGCTTACAAGTTAAACTTGGTGTTAAACTCCCTCAGACACTTAGAAGAGGCTTATTCCACTTAATGTGAAGTAAATCTGTGAAACAGTCATTTATCAAAACAGTAATATTAATATGTGAATATACTGATAATAAATCATTATTACATTCAACAAGTAGACTCATTTGGTGTTTTTAAGTGTTTTTGACAAAAAAAACATTATTTCCAGAATAAACAATTATGTTTATTCGTTCATTACTGTAAAACAGTCCGAACATTATTAAAACACTTTAGATAAACAGACCATGATTGTAAATAACTTGTAAAGTTAGGAAATCATTTTGTGGAACAAAATAAGAATCTTTTCATCTAAAGTAAAGTCTTGTTTCCTGCAGGAGGGCCTTGGCTTAGTAGACCCAATAAGACGAGAGATATTTCGTTATCACTTATCCTGGTCATGGGTGTCGTGACACGGGTGGCACACTGATGAAGCAGGTCTTGTCTATACTACAACGAGTTAACCATAAGTCCTGCTCAGCGGCTCTGCCGGGCCTTTGCGAATACCTACCCCTGTTCAGGTACTCCCTTGATTCCTGAAAATGGCGCTGTGAAGTTTTGGAAAATTAGCCTAAAGTTCTTGTGGAGGAAACACTTCAAAATGCATGAAGGCAGACAGAACTAATAATAATAATAATAATACATTTTATTTCAAAGCGCCTTTCAGGACACCCAAGGTCACTTTACACAAAACACGTAATAAAATACAATAAAACAATAATAAAACCGAAAGAAGAAAAAACAGAGAGAAACATTTCAATAAAATCAGAGGTTGTAGGCAGATTTAAACATATGTGTTTTGAGTTTTGATTGGAAAAGGGTAAAACTGTCGATGTTCCTGATGTCTGGGGGAAGTGAGTTCCAGAGTCGAGGAGCAGAGCGGCTGAAAGCTCTGCTCCCCATGGTAGCGAGACGGGCAGAAGGAACCGCAAGATGGATGGAAGAAGAAGATCTGAGTGAACGGGACGGGGTGTGAATACTTATAAGGTCTGAGATATATGGAGGAGAGAGGTTGTGGATTGCTTTGAAGGTATGGAGGAGAATTTTGAAGATGGGCCTGAATTTAACTGGGAGCCAGTGGAGCTGCTGGAGAACCGGCGTGATGTGGTGAAAGGAAGGGGTTCTGGTGATAATACGGGCTGCTGAATTCTGGACCAGTTGCAGTTTATGAAGGAGTTTGTTGGGGAGACCATAAAGAAGTGAATTGCAATAGTCGAGACGGGAGGTGACGAGGCTGTGGACGAGAATGGCGGCAGTGTGAGGGGTCAGTGAGGGACGAAGACGGTTTATGGAACGTAGATGGAAGTATGCTGACCGAATTAAGTTATTAATGTGAGCCTGAAAAGAAAGTGAGCTGTCGAGAATGACACCCAGACTCTTGACATGAGGTGAGGGGGAGACTGTGGCACTGTCAATAGTTAAAGAAAAGCTGTCAGATGTTGAGAGGGTGGAGTTAGTGCCAACTAGAAGAAGTTCAGTTTTATTGCCGTTGAGTTTGAGGAAATTAGAGGTGAACCATGATTTGATTTCAGAGAGGCAGAGTGTAAGGGAGGATGGTGGGAGAGTTGAGTTGGGCTTACTGGAAATGTAGAGCTGGGTGTCATCTGCAAAGCAGTGAAACTGGATATTGAATTTGCGGAAGATTTTGCCGATAGGGAGGAGATATACTATGAAGAGGAGGGGCCCCAGGACAGAGCCCTGGGGCACACCTGACTTGACTGGGGAGGGTTCTGAGGTAAAGGATTTTAACTGGATGAACTGAGTGCGGCCAGTAAGGTAAGATTGAAACCAGCGGAGGGGGGTGTGAGTGATGCCTAAGGAATAGAGTCTATTAAGGAGGATGGGATGAGAAATGGTGTCAAAGGCCGCACTCAGATCGAGGAGAATAAGAATAGAGATTAAACCAGAATCAGCAGCAATGAGTAGGTCGTTAGTGATCTTGATGAGAGCTGTTTCTGTGCTGTGGTGGGGACGGAAGCCAGACTGAAACTGTTCATAAAGGTTATTGCGGGTGAGATGTGAATGGAGCTGAGATGCAACAGTTTTCTCAAGGACTTTGGAAATGAAGGGAAGATGGGAAATGGGACGGAGGTTATTGAAATCATTGGGATCTAAACCAGGTTTTTTTAGAATAGGGCTGACTGAAGCGGATTTGAATAGGGATGGGACCGTACCAGAGGATAGTGAGGAATGAATAATGGCTGTTATAAAAGGGAGCAGAGAAGAAAGGCAGGATTTAACTAAAACAGTTGGAATAGGGTCTAGTTGACAGGTGGAAGGTTTGGATTTGGTGATGTAATCTAATATTTCTGAGGGATGGGGAAGTTCAAAGGAGGAGAACGGAATGGTGGGTTCAAATAAATCAGGAGAGGGAGGGGAGGAATGAGGTAAAGAGAGATGGATTCTATTGACCTTCTCATTAAAAAACTGAAGGAGAGAGTTACAGGTTTCTGAAGAGTAAAGATGGATGGGTAAGGAGTCGGGAGGCTGAAAAATGCTGTTCATGATGGAAAATAATGTTTTAGTGTTGCTGGAGTTGGACGAGATGAGACCGGAGTAATACTGAGATTTGGCATGGGAGATGGAGTCCTTGTAGAGAGAAATCTGAGCAGAATATAAGTCTTTATGGATGGTGAGACCGGTTTTCTTGTAGAGAACTAGTCTTTCTATTCAGCTTGGAAGGAAAGACTTTCATTTAATAATGAAGAAGAAACCAAGTTCTTTTTGTTCAACACATTCTCACACCCTAAGCGTCGGAAACAAACGCTTGGTCAGCCACCCTCCACGTCAGACCCCAGACGCCAAAAGTGCCATTTTTCGTTACTTATGTGCGAAAAGGGGTTTTTCCCTTTTGTAACTGCAGATCCCAATGCAGCGTAAAACTGACGTGATGAGATATCCGCTGATGCGGCACCAAACCAGCTCATTTAACCGCACCTAAACCTTAACGTTTCACTATTTATAACCTTCCCCTCTCCCTCATCCTAACCTTAACCCTCTTGCTACCTAAAATGTTACTCTCACTGCGATCAAGCATTTGTTTCCCCTGCATTCTGACTCTGTCAGAGTCTGACTGTCAATTTTCGAATTTGCCGCCCAAGGGGAACGTTAGAACATACCATCTGGCAAGGGGGAGGTTACACATACCCTCTACTTTTAACCTCCACCTTGGTAGTTGAAACCTTCCCCTCGTGTTGGCTCGGTCCAAACTCGACCAATGACGACGCGGCTCCCGCCGTTCACTTCATAGAGCCGGCTTTTAGAGCGACCGACACATCACTAACGTGTTCGCTAGCAAGATGGTTAAGGTTAGTATGGGGGTGAGGGGAAGGTTAAATAAGAGGATAAGGTTAAGGTGAGGTACGATGAGCTTGTTTGGTGCCCTGGCTGCGGACATCCCATCACGTCAGTGTAACGCTGCATTGGGATCTGCAGTCAAATAAGGGAAAAACCCCTTTTTGCACATAAGTAATGAAAAAGGGCACTTTTGGCGTCAGGGGTCTGACGTGGAGGGTGGCTGACCAAGCGTTTGTTTTTGATGCGCTGGGAGTGAGAACGTGTTTTGTTTTACAAGCTGCAGATGTGACCCTTGAAGGAGAGTGAGTCATCAATCAGAAATCCTACGTTTTTGTACTTAGAAACAAGCTCAAACTCTGAACCCCGTGAAGTGGTAAGTGATGGAAGATTTGTGGATTTTACTTTTGAGTTGCACATGTGCTGAACTGTTTTAAAGAATTGATCAATCTAAGGAAGAGCCAGATGAGCAGTAGATGCAGCTTACTACATCACAGTGTCATCGGCATAAAAGTGACAACTGGTGTTTTATACACCCTGGTCCATCTTGTTAAACAGGAGTGTCCCTAGAAGTGATCCCTGAGGAACACCTTTAAATACTTGAAAGAAGCTGGAAGCGGCTCCGATTTGAGTCCTTCTTCATCGCCGAGCTCTCACCTTTCGGAAAACTTGACCAATGTTTCATCTTGTTTGATCGTACTTTCAGTCCGATGTTCTTTTTCTCTCTTCTGCTTTATCAGATAAAGGTTGTCTTTGTTTATTTGGAGGCTCTGCCATGATAAACACAAAGCAATGAACACACCTCATTGGGTGGGAACATGCGTGATCCAAGGTCTGGTCTCCGGGGAGTGGTGGTGGTGGTGGTGGGGGGGGGGGGGGGTTAAATGGACATAATACACACATTTTCTGAGAAAACACAAAAATGGAAAGATGACTCGAAATGGATGAAATACAGGAGTTTCCTGGTCAAACTGGGGGACTTCAAAGGGATGACTCTGAGGTGTAAATATGGATTGGTTGTCTGCCCAAGGTGCAGAGGGGGTTGAAGGACTATCCATTCACCCTGGATGGGGTCAGTTAGTGTACCTTGACGCATGTTTTTCCTTTTCTCATTGTGAATCTGCACCTGTCCACAGCCTGTCTGTTGATTCGACTAAGGACCTATCCAGCTGGTTATGCAGTCTGTCCTCGACCATCGCCACTGCTCTATCCTGCAGCCAGGTGTCACTGCGCCTGTGGGAGAACCCTCACAACAAGATATGTGGTGATTGTGGAGCAGCAAATCCAGAGTGGGCATCTGTTAACCTGCTGCTTGTGATCTGCCACCGCTGTGCAGGTATGAGGCATCAATTCTGGGGAATATCAGGTGTTACAACCAACATTTTAAAAGGGAAATTGTATTCCTTTTATTGTTTGTGAAGTTAGTCAGTGTTTGATCGATCTAAGGAACAGTCTTCAATATTTCTGATTGTAATGGGTCACTCCGTCTCCAACCACCTCTCAGGCAGCAGCCCGCACTTCCAAGTTCTACACGTCACCAGAAAATAACCCACCAACACAATAAAAGCAGTGTTATACAAAATGGAAGGCCTGTAGTGTTTATTCTCTTACAGTAACAACTTATCAATTTTTTTGAGGAATTTATTAGAGATATTTTTGGTTTTTATTAACTGTGCAATAGAAAAATAATCATTAGATTAATCGTCTAAATAGTCATTAGAATAATCGACTATTCGATAAAATAATCGTCAGAATAATCGTTTTAAAAATAATCGTTTACCCCAAGCTCTAGTCATTACAGTGGGCAGTGAGTCAAAGTGTTTTTTTACCTATGAGGTAAAACTGCAGAAGCGTTGCATTCAAGCCTCCATGTTGGACTCCAGCCAACACACGTCATGTTCAGAACGTGTGTGGGGACAAATGAATATTTAAGAGTCACAAAATCAACAACGTTTAGCTCAGTTTTGTTTTACAAAGGCTTAAAAGAGTAAAAACCATGAAAGATCCTGATGACGCATGCGGTGTACACATGGAACAACACGCGTCCTGCTGAGGTCATAGAGCTTTCTGGTTCCAGTGATGCAGATTGGGAGAACTTTGATCAACACAACTTGGAGACTAGGGCTGCAACAAACGATTATTTGGATAATCGATTAATCGGATGGGGTCTCGACACGATTAATCGATTAATCGGATTACATGGGGAAATTTTTAAAAACTGCTAGGGAAACATTATTTCTCTCCTTCCTTCACTTTATTTAACACAACATTATTAGAAAACAGTTCAATAGCAGAAAAACAACATGCCATCACCTAAATTGTCTTATAAGGTGTATAGACAGAGACCCTAAGCTACATCTATCTGTGACCTAAAATGCTTGGTCCAAGTTAAACAGCTTAAGGGCAATTCTCATCTGTTTTGTTTGATCTCATCTGTTGACATTTATTTTAAATGTAATTAAACATAGGCTGTGAATTAATCAAAATTGATCACTATTTCCAAAAATGATTGAAAAAATACCAAATAAAACAAAAGTAAATGAATGCCATCCTCCTTGCGATGATGCCCTGGGCAACTGCCATAAAGTCACATCAAGAAATGCTGCTGATCATTCCAATGATCCCAAATAGACTCACATTAGGCCACATGAAAGCAACTGAACCCAAAAATATATTAACCAGTATATAACTGCACTCTCACACAACACGCCTGCAGCAACAGTTAGGACTCCTCCCTCCCTTTTAAAAGCGTTTTTGCTTCTGAGGACATTGTGGTTGTAAAACCACATGCTAGTAGTCTGGCCTCGGTGTGATCAACCAGTTTCTGCGGGAATGTGACGGTCGAACCAGGGCCAGATTAACACTTTGTTGTACCCTGGGCAACAATATTCAAGGGCTCCATCATCACGACCCAAGGATCACCATAATGTGGTCACATACAGAATATTTTACTGTAATATGCAGTAAATATACTCAATACTTGAATGCCTGACAACACGTAACCCGCCCAGAGTAACCTTTGACCCACCTCGTGTGGACTGACCAATGAGGAGAGGGTCTTAACTTGAGGCCCTCTCTTCATTGGTCAGTCTGCATGAGACTGAATCTCAACTGACGTTCAGTCGTAGGCAGCGAAGCGTCTCTGTGCAGTGCAAAAGCCTGGGTGGACAGTTTGTTTAATGTAGGGTGACCATATTTCCATTTCCAAACAAGAGGACAGGGGATCTGTGCCTATGACGTCACACTATGGCAACGCCACACAAACCATGTTGGGACCCATTTTTTGTAAGAACTAAATTAATATCAGATTCTGCCAATTAAAGGGCTCTAAAACAATTCATATGTAAATATTTTGCATATTTAATGCAAAATCTAATTTTTCTGCTTTAGTGCTGCAACGAGGTTTTATTAATAATAAATTATTATACCTTTTGTTTTACTACAGCATCGGTAAGCTTCCTGTGCACAGATTATTAAGGATGCTTGTTTCAGCTGTGAGATTAGACGATAGGATCAATGAAAAAATAAGTTGTCACAAACTCCATGGAAACTTTCAGAGAATCCACAAATAGTGGCTTTCAAATGGTTTTGTTACTTTTTGCAAGTTTATAAAAGAAGCAGATGAGACAGCATGTCTGATAATTTAGTTTTTCATCTGATAATATTAGAACATGTCAGTGATGTCTGAGGGGCTTTTACAGTGTGTAAAACTAATACTCCTGGAGAGGGTATGAATTACACAGAGGCTTCTGGGGAGCCCAGTTATTGGGGGGGGGGGGGCATTTTGCCTTGGCCCCCAAAATGTCTTGAAACGGCCCTGGGTGTGTGACTGAGTTTTGAAGGTGATCTGAATTGTATCAGATGTATAATTATTACATGTGTATAACTTATTGTTTTTTACTGGTAAAAACGTGTCGTGGAGATAAATCTACCTACATTTTACTTTTCAACACTTTGTTTTGTTTTCTTGTTTTTATTGAACTATTTTCCTGTCCTGTCTGTCTCTCATCTTCCTGCATCTCCTCTTAATTCTCCAGAAAATCTGTTGCCTGGATTCTTACCTTTTCACCTCATCAGTTACTTTTGAGCAGGTCAAAGGGATCTCCTGACCGAAAAGCGCAGAGCGCGTTTTCGATGCTGCGTGAGGTGACATCACCACAGCAGAGGTGATGACCTCCGCAGTAGCGAGCTTCAGGCACAAATATGCGATAGAGGGGCGCTTTTGGAAGAGTTGTGCGACACAACGAATCGATGACGCAATTCGTTGCCAACGCTTTTAGTAATCGATTTTCATCGAATTTATCGATTCGTTGTTGCAGCCCTATTGGAGACCAACAGTAGGAGATTAGAGGGCTTCTAATGTCTCTTCTAAGTCAAGCTTTAGAGTACCTTCCTACAGTTTCAAAGGTAATCTGATTACCAGTATTTATTTCTTTGTGGTTGGAGGTCACACTTGTATCTTTATGACAGCCATACATTTCATAACAATTTTTGAAGGACAGGGTAAAAATGCAAATGTCAGAGGTGACTACTTCTCTCTCTTTAGGCGTGTCCCTTCAGGTGTCTCCACAGCCAATCTGTCTCCGTTTAGTCCTTTCTCCTGCATCATCTACCCCAACATCAACTAACGTCTGGTCCTCTTTCACCACATCCATAAATCTGTTTGTCTTCCTTTCAGCCTTCTGCCTGGTGGCTCCAACCTCAGCATCCTTCTACCTATGTAACCATCATCTCCTCTGGACATGTCCAAACCACATCAGTCTGTCCTGCCTGACTATCTCCAGAACATCTAACATGAGCTGTCGCTCTGATGGACTCAATCCTGATCTTATCTGTCCTTGTCACTTCCAAAGAGAACCTTAACACCCTCCAGTTCTTTCTCTTTTAACACGCCTTCCTTCTCTTCTCAATCAACCAAAAGTGGCCCGATTTCCACCATCACCCTATACGTCATCAGCATGGGTGGCAGTTGTTAACCTGGGCCTAGACTGATCCAGGATGAAAGTCCTGTTTGTGATTGGGCTTAGGGTTGTTATCGAACACCCTTTCTGACACAACCCGCTGTCCTTTATGACACTAGTAACCACTGGCTTGTGACCTCCTACATCATTGCAACACCCACCATTGATTAGATATTAATCTGCATCAAGAGGGACGTGGCTCTGGTTTTAACAACAAACCCAACTCAAACATCCAACAATGTTTGTTTGTTCTCAGGTCAGCACCGACGTCTGGGCAGCAATCTCTCAAAAGTACGCAGTCTGAGAACGGACAACAAAGTCTGGACTGAACCGCTTATTCAGGTGAGGTAGCAGGGCAGCAAGTCAGCCATACAGGGAAAGGGATGGGGCACTAGGTTGTATTTCATCCTTTAAGCCTGAGTCATGCTTCTCCGTCAGCTCCAAAAGTGAGAGACACGCACGCACGGACAGAGACACTTTGCCCTCATACTTCTCCGTCTCCTGGGGAGTGTTGCAAAGCAATTCCCCCTTAGGAGTATATTTAAGTTTATGTGTTTAGCAGACGTTTTTGTCCAAAGAGACTTACAGGTGATGATGAAGCAGCAGGTTGTCCTTGAGGCTAACAACGAGCACTAATCAGTCAGTCCTAGGTGGCAGTGAGGCAGCATAATGAATCCTAGAGGGAAGTGAACATGGAGTGGACAGTAGAGTGGGGGACGGGTGCTGGTTTAGAAGATGCTCTCTGAAGAGCTGGGTCTTCAGGAGTTTCTCAACAAGGACGCCCTGTTCTGGTGGTGCTTGGTAGGTCATTCCACATCATAAGTCTTTGCAAGATGATTCAGGTAGATGGGAGCTGTACCATCCAGCACTTTGTATGCTAGTGCTAGCGATTTGAATTTGATGCGTGCAGCGGCTATACAATTTTTGAATTGAATTGGATAGCCAATGGAGCTCAGTGAACAGGGGTGACATGTGCTCTTTTAGGCTGATGGAAGACCAGACGCACCGCTGTGTTCTGGACCATCTGAAGAGGTCTCACAGTCCAGGCTGGAAGACCAGTTAGAAGGGCGTTGCAGTAGTCGAGGCGGGAGGTGACAGTAGATTGCACTAATTAGTGTCCTCCATGTTTCTTATTGTCCAATAAATTAATTTTGTCTGGAGATCCAAAAGGGTTCCAATGAAGACGACTGGACTTCTTTGGTATCTTCATGACATTTCACTTCTCATTCGAGGAACTTTTTCGTCACCTGGAGCTAAAAATGAAAACAAGTAGGTATTTAATATCTAAAACCAAAGAGGAGGACAGTTACTGAAATCAGACCTGAATGGAGTCCGACTGAAAAACAAAGAATAGTAAACATAAATCCTGACTTCAACCACACCTTAAAATAACCAAACCACCACAAAACCCAAAGATCAGGACAAGTATTCAGATATGCCAACACTGAAGGAAAACAACAAGGTGCATGTCAGTCAGAGTCAAGGATAAGGTCTGAGCAAAAGTGGCTGGCCTGTGGATGATGTCTAGGATAGGGTTTGTGGTTAGACATGAGCAGAGATCCTCTTTAACCTGACCAGTCCTGCAGACGAAGCAGACATGATGGTTGATCTGGGTACCATAACATGCCGGAGCAGCTTTACGCAGCCACAAGGTGATCTTCCTACTGTTTGTGGCATGTGGAGCCTCATACAACCCAGCTTACAAGGAACCTCGAGGCACCTTTCCATATCTCTACACTGGTGACTAATAGAAAAGACCATATGTAGCAGTTTCAGTGGCCTGGCAGCTGAGTTTTGAACCAACTGAAGCGTCTAAGAGGGAAATATAGGACACTATAACAATAGTCAATTCTGGAAAGGATGAAGGTGTGGATGAGGGTTTTTGCAGCCTTAAAGGATAGAATGGGGAGGAGATGGGCAACATTTCATAGGTGACGTAGGCTATTTTAGTGATTTTACAGATTTGTGGTTGGTGGAAAGACTAGGGTCAAAGGTGACACCAAGATTTATCATTTGAGGGGATGGAGTGACAATATGACCACCAATACTGAACGAGAAATCGTTACAGAAGGGTAGAAAGGATTTGGGTCTGAAAATGAGCAGGGGTCTCATTTATCAAGCATTGCGTAGAATCCTTACTAAAACCGTACTTAAGCTCAGCAAAAGAAATGTACTTATGCCAAGTAGGTTTGTGATCTATCAAACATGGAGTACGCACAGCTGCACGCAATCTCCGCTTCGTAAATCAGAAACCATCTAGAAAGGTTCTCAGCTGCTTTTTAGTCACATCCCGCCCTCACCACACCCACTTACTGCCATATATAGTCAATGCAAAGTGCCTTGTGGACCTCATGCTTATACATAAGCCGGCTGTTGCAGCACTCCGCCAATGACGATGGCGACCGTAGATCAAGGCAGATCAAGGAAGCGCAATTTCACAAGCAGAAATTGAGGTACTTGTGGGTGAGGTGGAGAAATGAAAGGAAGTGCTTTTGCAAAACAAATAAGAGAAAATCCACGGAGTGGCACCGAGTTGCTGAAGCCGTCAATGTTGTGAATTCTTCAGGGAGATCTGTGGCGGATATAAAACAAATGGTCCAATAGGGATTCGATCCCCAGACTCCCAGGTGAAAGTCACGCGTGCTAAACAGTCACCCAAACGGAGATCTCCCTTGTCCAAGTAGCCAGGGTGCATGATCATTCGGGTCACAGTGACAGGACACACACACTGTCACAGACGCATGATGTTCTGTCTCAATCTGTCCCCGTGCTGATATTCTGCATTCTGTATTCTGTGCTTCAGGCTGTGTGTGTGCGCGTGTGTGTGTGTGTGTGTGCGTGTGGGGGGTTTTGTTCTGTGTGAAAACGAAGCAGTACAAGTGATAATGCTGCAGGATTTCATAATTGTATCTCCTCAGCAGCAGCACTGCAGGTGCTCTCCATGTCCAGCATGTGTGTAAGCCAGGTCCTTAGTCAACTTAAAGTTGCGCACATTTTTCCGCTAAGTTTTCTTTCATAAATCCCAAAGTTTGTGTGGAAAGTTGCTTACGCAGTTTTCCGACCCCGTTTTGTGCGTAAGCAAGCTTGATAAATGAGACACCAGTTCCATTTAAATGCAGTTGAATTTCAGCAAATTTTATATAATATGAAATGTGGTAAATAAGATGCGGTTTTACTAAATTCATTTTAATTGAAGTTTATTTATAATGAGCCAAATAAGGACTAGAGTCATCTCAAGGCACTTCAACCAGTAAACATTCCAGTACAGGTCAGGTCATTAAGCCAATCAGTAACAAGTTTCCTATATAAGGAACCCAGCAGGTTGCATCGAGTCACTGACTAGTGTCTTTACAGCAATCCTCATACTAAGCAAGCATGCAGCGATAGTGGAGAGGAAAACTCCCTTTTAACAGGAAGAAACATCCAGAGCAGGGGTGTCAAACTAAAACTCACACGGGGCCGAAATGAAACTCTGGGACGGAGTCGAGGGCCAAACAATATTTTCTGAAAAAGTGACTGCAAATTTGTACATTTTCTTTATCAACATATATGCAATTTTGAACCTTTAAATTTGGAAACAAACTTATTTCTGCATTAACACTGAATGTGGAATGACCAAATTACACACGAGCAAGTCAGTTTTAAATAAAACGCATCAGTGGTATTCATTACTTGTGGTATAATCAGCATTTTTAAAATCTATTCAGGATTTATGTTTTCTTGTTTATTCATTTTTCTTATTTTTATTCTCCTTGTTTTCTCCTGTAATACGCGTCATCGCTGCTGTGACGTCTAGCTTTCCCCACTGAGGAACAATAAAGGGATTTTCTATTCTATTCATCTATCTGCAGCCTTTCCACTTCCTGTTTACTGTAGGTTAAATCTTTTCTCACGGGCCAACAACAAAATAAAAATATCATTTTATCTTAAATGAAAATGCAACATCTCACCTGTTAACTTTCATGTTTTGGAGCAGAAAAAGAGCATAAAACCAACATATTTAAAGCTCAGTTTGCTCCACTGGTTTACTGTGATGCTCACCTGTTCCAGCCAGATACCTGCATCATGGGGCTGATCTGAGCTGAGGAGGAGACTCCTGTTGTTTTGTTCATCTTCATCATAATAACGACAACATTAGATGACAACAGGTGCTCACATAGGTTTGTGCTGATGAACATGTCTGAGCAGCTTGGCCACGTTGTTGTGTGTCGGGGAGGAAACACAACGACAGCAACCACAGAGTCGTGCTGGTTTGAGCGAGTCGCTGCTCGCTGGAGTTATATCAGCCCTGTGTGGACGTTAGTTGGAAAACTTTTTCTTTCAGTCGTGAACACATTACTGAGCGGCTAGAATCTCCGTTTCTGGGCTTCAACGTCAGAAAATAGCTGAGTGAACTTGGCGCTGAGTGAGAGGAGTGTAGTTTGTCCGAGACAGCAGAGCTGCTGACACCGGCAGCAGGCGCTGAAAAAACACAAAGGAGGGGGCTTCGTCGGCTCCGCGCTGACGCCGCAAAGCATCATGGGAGTCGAAGTATTTGCGGTAAAATCGGCCAGCGGGCCAGTTTTAATATATTTTTGATTTTTATCTCGCGGGCCACATAAAAATGCTCCGCGGGCCTTGACTCTGACATATGTGCTCCAGAGGGTCCTGGCTCAGTATAAGCAGCCATCCTCCACGACTCACTGGGGATGGAGAACACACACACACACACACACACACACACACACACACACACACACACACAAATACACACACGTAGTGTTTCTATGGTTACATTGTGATTTCTTAGTAAATATTCTATTTGGCGAGAGATAAACTTTATTGTATTTATCCTAGTGGATCTATAATTAAACGGATAAACTAGTAGTAGCACATTCAATGTCAAAGAGAGTAAAATGTTATCAGGAGAGGGAGAATGTTTAAGTGGTTAGCAGCAGTGTGCTAGACGATGGCCCCCTCCATGAGGCCACCACAGCTCAGCAGAACATCATTGTAGCTTCTTCTGGGGAGCAGAGAAATATAAAGGCTAAAAAACGTGTCCTCACAACTGTAGATTTTCCTCAAGAGGGCAGTAGGCATGAATAGGGTCAATTATGGCATGTTTTCAATAAAGGTACTAATGCTGATGCTAATCTGGATCCAAGTGGTCATATTTCTATTTTGTGGCAACCGTTTACGAGGGGTTAAATCATGTGTGTTGAAGAAACTTCCTCTGCAGGGTAGACTGGAATGTTGGCCACTGTATAAAAATATTTGTCTAACAAACAATAGGGATACCTGCTACAGCTTTATAAAACTGAAGCTAAGGTAACTAAACCAGTCTCACAGGTGATTGTTTTTCTAATCGTCAGTGTTCATTCTCTTTAGCTGTTTATTACCTACGGCAACCATTTGGCCAATCAGGTATGGGCTTCAACCGTGCCAGCAAGAGAGCAGCTGCATCCACAATCAACGGATGAGGAGAGATCAACGTTTGTCCAGAACAAGTACAGAAAGGGGTGCTACAAACGACTCCATGCTCTCTCATCCAGTCGTTCAATGATGAATCAGGTCTGAGCGACAACTGTAGAACTTTTATGGTGATGGTGGTGATGACAGTGGTTGTGGTGGTGATGATGGTGGTGGTGGTGACGATGGTGACAATGATGATGGTTGTGATGACAGTGGTTGTGGTGGTGGTGGTGATGATGGTGGTGGTGATGAGGATGGTGGTGGTGGTGGTGACGATGATGGTGGTGGTGGTGATGAGGATGATGATGGTGGTGGTGATGAGGATGGTGGTGGTGGTGGTGACGATGATGGTGGTGGTGGTGATGAGGATGATGGTGGTGGTGGTGGTGACGATGGTGACGATGATGGTGGTGGTGGTGATGATGGTGACGATGATGGTGGTGGTGGTGATGAGGATGGTGACAATGATGGTGGTGGTGGTGATGATGATGATGGTGGTGGTGGTGATGAGGATGGTGGTGGTGGTGGTGACGATGATGGTGGTGGTGGTGATGAGGATGGTGACAATGATGGTGGTGGTGGTGACGATGGTGACGATGATGGTGGTGGTGGTGATGATGGTGACGATGATGGTGGTGGTGGTGATGAGGATGGTGGTGGTGGTGGTGATGAGGATGGTGACGATGATGGTGGTGGTGGTGATGAGGATGGTGACAATGATGGTGGTGGTGGTGATGATGGTGACGATGATGGTGGTGGTGGTGATGAGGATGGTGGTGGTGGTGGTGACGATGATGGTGGTGGTGGTGATGAGGATGATGGTGGTGGTGGTTGTGACGATGGTGACGATGATGGTGGTGGTGGTGATGATGGTGACAATGATGGTGGTGGTGGTGGTGGTGATGATGATGATGATGATGATGACAATGGTGTTGGTGATGGTGATGATGGTGGTGGTGGTGACGATGATGGTGGTTTTGGTGGTGGTGATGATGGTGACGATCATGATGGTGGTGGTGGTGGCGATGATGATGATGATGATGGATTGTTGGTGCTTGTCGTGGTGGCAACCCCAGAAGGGATGCTGTCAAGCAAAAGAAAGAGTCCTATCAGGTCTTTTTGGCCTGTGGGACTCCAGAGATAGCTGATAGGCACTGGCAGTCCAATCGGAATGCGGTTTTGGTGGTCGCGGAGGCAAAAACCCGGGCGTGGGAGGAGTTTGGTGAGACCATGGAGCAAGACTTCCATATGGCTTCGAGGAGATTCTGGTCAACCATCCGGTATCTCAGGAGGGAAAAGCAGTGCGCTACCAACGCCGTTTACAGTGGTGATGGTGCAGCTGACCTCTACTCGGGACATTGTGGATAGGTGGACAGAATACTTCGAAGACCTCTTCAATCCCACTGGCACGCCTTCCAGTGAAGAAGCAGAGTCTGGGGACCCTTAGTGGGACTCTACAATCTCTGGTGCTGAGGTCACTGAGGTGGTTAAAAAGCTCCTCTGTGGCAAGGCTCTGGGGGTGGATGAGATCCGACCATAGTTCCTTAAGGCTCTGGATGTTGTAGGGCTGTGTTGGCTGACGCGGCTCTGCAATATCGCGTGGACATTGAGGGTAGTCCCACTGGACTGGCAGACCGGGTTGGAGGTTCCCCTATTTAAAAAGGGGGACCGCAGGGTGTGTTCCAACTACAGGGGGATCACACTCCTGAGCCTTCCTGGTAAGGTCTATTCAGGGGCTCTGGAGAGGAGGGTCCATCACATTGTCGAACCTCGGATTCAGGAGGAGCAATGTGGTTTTCGTCCTGGCCCTGGAACACCAGACCAGCTCTATACCCTTGGGGGGATTCTGGAGGGTGTGTGGGAGTTCGCCCAACCAATCTACATGTGTTTGTGGATGTGGAGAAGGTGTTTGACCACGTCCCCCGGGGGTCCCTTTGGGGGGTGCTCCAGGAGAATGGGGTACCAGGCCCTCTGATACGGGCTGTTAGGTCCCTGTATGACTGGTGATGATGATGGTGTTGGTGATGGTGGTAATAATGGTGATGGATATGTGCTGATCTTTCAGAGGCTGTGTCAGGTGGTCGTCAGTGACAATGTGGAGGAAACGATGTCTCTGATCTGCTCAGGAGCAAAGGTGTCACTTAGTCTACTGTATATCATTAATCATCTAATGCATGACCCTCAACCCTCACCTAATAAATCTTTTTGTGTTTAGGTGTGCCCCTCTGACCCTCAGAGTCCTGCCCCCATTCTGCTAGCTGAGAAAGCTAATCAGGCACTGCAGATTGAGCTGCTCCGCCACAATGAGTACACGGGTAAATCATATCCATGCAAACAAATCCATAACAATTCTAAAGCTTTGAACAAAGTCAGTCAAACAGTAAAGATGACCTGTGTGTCTTTGTCCTCAGATGTCCCACCCCAACAGCTTCATTCAGCAGACCTCAAACTTCAGTCTGCCCCCACAGGTACACCCCTGAGAGAATGGTGTCAATCCAGTCAGCTTCACTTCATTTTTCTTCCACATTTTAACAACACCTAGTTGCCAAAGTTTATTCATGCTCAGACATGAATAAAAACGGGCATTAATTCACACAAGGTGATCTGTACTGTAAAAATAAAGTCAACATTTTTGAATTCTATTTTTATGCGACTTATTTTACCAGGAAAGATAATCCGTTGTAATTAAAATTTCTCTTTCAGTAGACCCAGCAAAGACAACCGCATACAACTGTACAGTATTAAAACAGACTCTATAGCTAGCAAGGACAGACAGTTTGAAGGCACCAGATTACTTCAAGGTGCTCACCTGCATTGATTTCTGAAGACACCTGCTTGTGTGTTAAATAAACCATCCTTTAGCCTGGCTCTGCACTGTCACTCTGGAGCCCTTTTCAGACAGACATTCTGGAACATCTGCGGACAATTCAATCCGGTTTTTAACCGGAACTGTGTTTTCAGACACACCACTTTTGTACCGGAACTTGTCCTTTCGGCTGCGTTCACACAGCAGGGAAAAGTTCCAGATGTCTGACGGCGGCGGGGGGTGGTGGGGGGAGAGAGAATCGGACTCATGTTAAGAAGAAGAAGAAGAAGAAAATATCATTTCTATAGCGCCTCTCAAGATAAAAATCACGAGGCGCTTAAGCATAATTCTGCGCACACGAAGACGCATAAGAGACCTGGATGATGAAGCTCAATGGTTAAAGGAATCACTGAAGCGGTGTGAAGCGCTCCGTCGCGCGTCTAGACGGTACCGTAGGAGGCGAGCTGCCGTGGTTCGCCGCATGCTACAGGAGCGAGCTATCTAGGTGCATACAGCGTCCCCCGGTCCCCTCCTCCTCCCCTCCCCCTTGTCCTGAACTCTACCTCACCAGTCTGAAGCAGCCACCCTGTCCGTAACAAGTCCGGACCTGTTACTAGGGGCTTCGTCCGGATAAATTCCGGAACACGTTATCCGGATGTTTGTATTCAGACAGAAAGGTCTTACGGACAGATTCCGGAACATTTCCGTTTTTCATGGCCTGTCTGAAGGGGGCTTTAGTAAATGAGCTAATTTAAAAGGATTCTGCAATTTAGATCAGGCAACCGTGTTTCACTCAACAAAAGCTCTGATGTTTTTCTAAATGAACAACCAACTGAATACTTAACTTAGTTCTTTTTTCCCTGTGTCCTGTCTGGCTGTGAAGCATTGATGTCTGAATGCTGAGACAAGCCTTAGAGGTTTACTCTCGGAAGGTTCCACAAAAATAATCAGATGAACAAGAGTCTGCTTCTAGACCTGCAGAAAGACAAAAACAACACACAGCAATACAACAGGAGCAAGTTATCACTGTGTCAACTTGATGAAGAAATATAAAATCAACATTGTTTTACTGAACAATCACGATAATAAATAACAGCGCATTTATTGCCAACCACAGCCTTAAGACATGTGTTGAAAATGCCCAAGTCCATACTTACGAGAGCACACGCTTGTATATGTAAGGTTTATCTATAGGTGCGTCCAATAGAGAGTGTGAGGGGCCACAGATCTGCCCCAAGGATGTGTTGGAGACGGGGGGAGCTCCAAGTCCCAGAGATCCAGGGACTGCCCCAGAGCACAGGGACCCCAGGGAGACTGCAACCAGAAAAGCCCCTGTCCCCCTCGAGAGGCGCAGAGGATTGCACCGGGGGGCCACAACCAGCAGCTGCCAGAGTCCCGGGACATATCAGCGGCAAGCCTACAGGCCCGCCCGCAGCGTCCCACCCTCAAGCCGGCCGACCCGGGGCGACCAGCTCCGCTGGGGACCCAACGGAGCCCAGGGACTCAGATCCCAACAGGCAGCCACTGGGATCAATCAGACAGACTCCAAAAATCTTAAACCCACTGACCTGGGAGCCGTGACCACTCAGGCAGACCAAGGCACCGCACTCACACCAAATGTGGAAGGGGGAGGGCAGGTGAAGATGTGCGGCAGCACAAGAAGTCCCAGGAGAGGGGAGGAGTCCAAGACCCCACCTGACATACACAGCCATACACAGACACAGTCACACACTCCCTCCCTCATGCTCACACACACACACACATACAACCTAAGACTTACAAAAATTAACTTTAGACACCCACTCAAGCTCCCCATACACACCCTATTCACTCTGGTCCCGGTACTGCTGCACAAAGAGTACAACCAATAAATAGTTTACTAATTAAATACAATATTTAACTTTTTCTGATGGGTCGATATCCAGCAAACTCTTATTATGTCTCTGAAACAAGCAAAAAATGTATTTCCTGTGTGTTTCCTGGGTGTGCAGGTCAGGAAGAAGAGGCGCTTCATGGAAAACTAGAGGAGGACCGTTTTTTCTTCTCAGTAGAAAATGACTCGGCAGCTTGCGATGTCTTGGACCTGCGAGAAGTTCAGTCTGTCTTCCTTAAAGATGGGTAAATGTAAATTGTTGACACATCTGGTTCTGCTGAAAAGACCTGATTGGAGTCATGGGACTGATGGTGCTGTTAGTGCCGTTAGTGCCGATGGAGCTCATGGTGCTGACGGTACCGATGACGCTGTCAGGGCTGACGTCGCTGATGATGCTGATGGGACTGATGGTGCTGTTAGAGCTGTTAGTGCTGACGACGTTGATGGTCTGGTGGTGCTGACGGAACTGACGCTGCTGTTGGGACCAATGGGACTGATGGTGTTGATGGCACTCATTGTGCCAGGCTGATGATGCAGATGGGACTGACGGAACTACTGGTGCTAATGACGCTGATGGTCTGATGATGCTGACGGGACCGATGATGCTGTTAGGGCTGATGACGCTGTTGGGACAAATAACCACCTCTTAGGTTTTTAAGAATTTTAAGGATGAATTAGCACAGTTGTTAATATACCCTTAAATATAATTGATATTAGTAAATAAACAGCTGTTAATACCTTCAATTTCAGTTATATCTAGTAACAATTCTATTACGACAAGGATCAGTCATTTTGTTGCTTTATAGATGTAGGATTTTAAAGACGTGTGTTTGTTTATTAAATGTTAAAATGGCTTGCCCTAGAGAAGGTTTGTTGTTTATATTTTGTTTTATTTTTCTGTCGTTCTTGGCAGACTGAAGCCACAATCACTGAGGTGCTTTATTTAATTGCTAGTATTTATATTCAGTGACACAACTTCTCTCTGTGGCCTCTAACTTTGATAAAATGCAGCCAAAACTTTTTTTTTCCTACATTTTCTTTGTCCGCCAAATCTTTGAAGTTTTGAAAATGCACTGAATGAGTGAGACTCCAGTCAGGTGAGGAGCTGCTGTGGAAGAACAGAGTTGCAGCTTCTCAGCAGGGACGTTATATTTGGAAAGTACGGAGATCTAGCACAGCAAAATAGAGAATTAGAGGCATGCAGAATGAATGTACAGTATGTCTTTACAACCTATATGTAAGACATCCATCCATTCTCTTCCACTTATCCAGAGTCGGGTCACAGGGGCAGCAGCCTAAGCAGAGAGGCCCAGACTTCCCTCTCCCCAGCTACTTGGGCCAGCTCTTCCAGGGGAATCCCAAGATGTTCCTTGGCCAGGTGAGAGACATAGCCCCTACAACGTGTCCTGAGTCTTCCTTTAGGCCTCTTCCCAGTTGGACGTGCTCACCAGGGAGGCATCCTAATCAGATACCCGAACCACCTCAACTGGCTCCTCTCAATGTGGAGGAGCAGCAGGTCTACTCCAAGCCCCTCCCGGAAGACCGAGCTTCTTACCTTATCTCTAAGGTAGAGCCCAGCCCCCTTGCAGAGAAAACTCATGTTGGCTGCTTGTATTCGTGATCTCGTTCTCCTGAATCGGAGGTTCAACAAATCGACGGACCCTCCTCTCCAGAACCGCTGAATAGACCTTACCAGGGAGGCTCAGAAGTGTAATCCCTCTCTATTTGGAACACACCCTGTGGTCCCCCTTTTTAAATAAGGGAACCACCACCCTGGCCTGCCAGTCCAATGAAACTGCTCCCATTGTCCACGCGATATTGCAGAGCCGCATCAGCCAACACAGCCCGACAACATCCAGAGCCTTAAGGAACTCTGGGCGGATCTTGGCCACCCCAGAGCCTTGTCACTGAGGATCTTTTTGACAACCTCAGTGACCTCAGAGACTGGAGAGTCCAGCCCAAAGTCCCCAGGCTCCACTTCCTCACTGGAAGACATGGCGGTGAGACTGAGGAGGTCTTCGAAGTATTCTGCCCACTGATCAAAAACGTCCCAAGTAGAGGTCAGCTGCCTACCTTGCCCACTACAAATAGTACACTATGCTTGGACAGCCTGTACTTATCAGCTGCCTCTGGAATCCCACAGGCCAAAAAGACCTGATTGGACTCTTTCGTCAGCTGGACAGCATCCCTAACCGACAGTGTCCAACAGCGGGTTTGGGGGTTGCTGCCACGACAGGCACCAACGACCCTGCATCCACAGCTCCGGTCGGCCGACTCAACAATGGCGGCACGGAACAGGGTCCATTCAGACACAATTTCCGTCGCCTCCCCCGGAACATTTTGGAACTTTTGTCGGAGGTGGGAATTGAAGCTCCTTCTGACAGGAGAATCTGCCAGACGTTCCCAGCAGAGCCTCGCGATACGTTTGGGTCTGACTGGCATCCTCCTGCAACATCTGAGCCAACTCACCACCAGGTAATGGTCAGCTGACAGCTCTGTCCCTCTCTTCACCCGCAGCTGCAGATCAGGCGGAATGACAACAAAGTTGATAATCAAGCTGCAGTCTAAGGTATCCTGGTGCCAAGAACGCATATGGATATCTTTATGTCTGAACATGGTGTTCATTATGGACAATCCATGACTAGCTCAGAAGTCCAATAACAAAACACTGCTCAAATTCAGATCAGGGGAGCCATTTCTCCCCACCACACCTCTCCAGGTCTCACTGTCGTTGCCCACATGAGCGTTAAAGTCCCCCAGCAGAACGAGGGAGTCAATTGAAGGAGTGCTCTCCAGCACCTCCTCCAAGGTCTCCAAAAAATGTGGGTAGTCTGTACTGTAGCTTTGTGCATAAGCACAAACCACAGTCAGGACCCGTCCCCCCACATAGGCGGAGGGAGGCTACCTTCCTGTTCACCGGAGTAAATCCCAACATGCAGGCACCAAGATGGGGGGTAACTAGTATGCCCACCCCTGCTCGGCGCCTCTCAGTGGGAGCAACTCCAGAGTGGTAGAAAGCCCAACCCCTCTCAAGGAAACTGGTTCCAGAGCCAGAGCCATGCGTTGAGGTGAGTCCGACTATATCTAGTCAGAACCTCTCAACCTCACACACCAACTCAGGCTCCTTCCCCACCAGAGAGGTGATATTCCACGTGCCAAGAGCCAGCTTCTGTAGCCAAGGATCAGACCACCAAGGTCCCCGCTCTTGGCTACGACCCATCACACACTGCACCCGACAACTTTGGCCCCTCCCTTGAGTGGTGAGCCCATGGGAAGGGGAACCCACGTTTCCTCTTCGGGCTGTGCCCAGCCGGGCACCATGGGTGAAAGCCCAGCCACCAGGTGCTCGCCAACATGCCCCACCTCCAGGCCTGGCTCACGAGGTGGGCCACGGTTACCCACGTCACGGGAGTATGCCCAACCATTCTACATGTGCTTTGTGGATTTGGAGAAGGCGTTTGACCGCGTCCCTCAGGGGGACCTGTGGGGGGTACTTAGGGAGTATGGGGTACCAGGCCCTCTGATACGGTCTGTTAGGTCCCTGTATGACCGGTGTCAGAGCTTGGTCCGCATTGCCGGCAGTAAGTCGGGCTCGTTCCCAGTGAGAGTTGGACTCCGCCAAGGCTGCCCTTTGTCACCGATTCTGTTCATAACCTTTATGGACAGGATTTGTAGGAGCAGCCAAGGTGTGGAGGGCATCCGTTTTGATGGTCTGAGGATCAGGTCTCTGCTTTTTGCAGATGATGTGGTCCTGTTGGCTTCATCAGAACGTGATCTTCAGCTTTCGCTGGAGCAATTTGCAGCCGAGTGTGAAGCAGCTGGGATGAGAATCAGCTCCTCTAAATCCGAGGCCATGGTCTTGAGTCGGAAAAGGGTAGAATGTCTTCTCCGGTTCAGGGACGAGGTCCTGCCCCAAGTGGAGAAGTTTAAATGTCTCAGGGTCTTGTTCACGATTGAGGGAAAACTGGAGCGTGAGATCGATAGGCAGATTGATGCTGCGTCTGCAGTGATGCGGGCGTTGTGTTGGTCTGTCGTGGTGAAGAGAGAGCTGAGTCAGAACGCAAAGCTCTCAATTTAACAGTGGATCTATGTTCCTACCCTCACCTATGGTCACGAGCTTTGGGTAGTGACCGAAAGAACGAGATCACAGATACAAGCGGCTGAAATGAGTTTTCTCCACAGGGTGGCTGGGCTCTCCTTTAGAGATAGGGTGAGAAGCTCGGTCATCTGAGATGGGTTTGGAGTAGACCCGCTGCTCCTCCACATCAAGAGGAGCCAGTTGAGGTGGCTTGGGCCTGTGATTAGAATGCCTCCTGGATGCCTCCCTGTTGAGGTTTTCTGGGCACGTCCAACCGGGAGGAGACCTAAAGGTAGACCCAGGACACGCTGGAGAGACTATGTCTCTCTCCTGGCCAGGGAACACCTTGGGATTCCCCCGGAGGAGCTGGCTCAAGTGGCTGGGGAGAGGGAAGTCTGGGCGTTTCGACTTAGGCTGTTGCCCCCGCGACCTGACTCCGGATAAGCGGAAGAGAATGGATGGATGGCAAATTGTTCTCTCTGGTGGTGTTTTCAGGCCGGCTCATCAGTTTGAACTAGTGACTCTGAACGATCAGCTGCTTTGTGAGGCTGATGAGGAAGAGATGCTTCAAAGCCACCTGCTTCATATTCTAAAGGTGAAACACCTGCACCTGTCTGATGGATCACTTTGCCAGTTTTGTTAATGTTATGATTGCTTCATGATGTTATTGCTTTTGATGCTTTCATTTTGCTATAATGTTGCTTTAACATACGTTTAGCATCTTCTTCCTGCTCTCGAGAAGAATGCACACTTACTGTTTTCCTCCTGCTAACCCTGTCCTGCCGTGCTGTTACCTGCCCTGCGAGTCCATCTGGAGAGCCTCTCTGCATTCTTCTCTGGTATTATTAAGCATGGATCTGTTCAGCTGGTCTCTAAATGCTGCTGATAAAATTGTTTCCACTTTTTATTTGGCGAAAGGAGTGCCTTCCTGCCCTGATAAAACGCACTGACCAGTGTCAGTGACTCGATGCTATTTGCTGGGTTCCTTTTACAGGAAACCTTTGACTTGTTTGTTTGTTTATTTGACAGACTTAATGACCTGATCTGTACGGGAACGTTTACTGTGTAAATGGCCTGTATTTGATATAGCACCTTCTAGATTTCTGGAACCCCCCCCCCCCCCCCAAGGCGCTTTACAGCACAATCAGTCATTCACCCATTCACACACGCATTTACACACTGATGGGGATGAGCTACGATGTAGCTACAGCTGCCCTGGGGCGCACTGACAGAAGTGAAGCTGATGAGCACAGGGGGCCACCGGTCCCTCCGACCACCACCAGCAGGCAACGTGGGTTAAGGCCTAGTCCACACGTAGCCGGGGTTTTTAAAAACGAATACCCGCCCCTCCAAAAACTTGCATCCACACCACCGCGTTTAAAAAACAAACTCTGTCCACACGTACCCGGATAAATACGTTGTTAAGGACATGCCAGACCTGTAGGCGGCAGTACTTTCCCCGTTCTTAACCTCGTCCTTCGTCTGTGGTCTTCTGCAAGGAGCAGTAATTCCTCTTGCAAAAACAAACATGCAGAAAGCGCTTGGACAATTGATGGATCGGGTAGTGACAGAGCGCAGCTCTGAAGGCTTCCATGCTGTCGGCTAGTGTAAACACAGGTCGCACACGTGATGTCAGCATTTTTTGTCGCGGAAAGTGACGTTGCGGACCTTAAAACTCCGGTTTTGTCCGTCCACACGCAGACACCCAAAACGGAGAAAACGCAGATCTTCACTTTGGCCGGAGTTTTTAAAAAGATCCGTTTTCGGGTGAAAAAACTCCGTTTTCGTGTGGATGACAGGCCAAAACGTAGAAAACTATCTACGTTTTGGCAGATCCCCGGCTACGTGTGGACAGGGCCTAAATGTCTTGCCCAAGGACACAACGACAGTGACAGACTGAGCGGGGCTCGAATCTGCAACCTTCCGATTGCGGGGCGAGCTCTTAACTCCTGTGCCACTGTTGCCTTGAAGGTCCTTGGGACGACTCTTGTTGTGATTTGGCGCTATATAAATAAACTTGAATTGAGTTGAATTAATGGATTTCTGGAGCGAGTTGGGTTTATGTCTGATGCTGCAAATCATGGAGAATGTAGAAGACACTCATAAAAAACTTATTGGTTATGCTGCCTCACTGCCACCTGTTAGCCTCAGGGCAACCTGCTGGCTTGATTATCACCTGTAAGTGGCTTTGGACAAAAGCGTCTGCTAAATACACAAACATAAGCAATCGTATTCATGGTGACCAGCTGTCTGCTTGCTGGGCTGCTGGTTTCCTGGTGCCTTGAACGATTCTCC